GATGCAGAGGGGGCTGCTGTGAGAAAGTGACATTAAGGTTGACACTTGAATGGCAGGAAATGCCATGCAATCGCAGGAGAAAGCAGTCCAGACAGAATTAACAGCTCAAGAACCCTGAGTGGGAATGTGCTCCTTACATACAGTCCAGGCACCACCTGGAGGCCTATGCTGCTGGGCTGTGAACAAGGGAAATGGAAGTACATGAGTTGAAGGGGGCAGAGAGAACCTTCAGGGTGGTACGTTATAAATACTCTTCTGGCTTCAGTGAAGAGCTGATACAAGGTTTTAAACAAAGTAGTGATGTGATCTTCACATTTTTAAGTGACAGGGCAGTTTACTCTGTGGAGGATAGACTGAAGGGGGCCAGCATGAAAAGAGGAAGTCAGAGTCCTGGTGAGAGATGGAGTTGACTTGTACCCAGTAGCAGAAGCGAGAGTACTTTCCTTTAAGAATTATTTAGAATAGAATGAAAGCACTTATTGATGAGTTAAATGTTGGAGGGTGTACAGTATTAGAGAAAGAACATGAAGTAGCAAGGATAACGCTGACCATTTCTGTGATAAACTTTGGGACTACAGCATCTCTTTTATTTATTTATTTAATCATTTAATGGGGACTTGTACAACTCATCACAATCCATACATATGACTACAGCATCTCTTAACCACTCAATTTAGATATTCCACTGGTCATTTCCAAAGGGCAATTCTTTTCACAGTTGTGTGCTACCATGACAACAGATAATTTTGCGTGTATACCCAGTATCAAATTAAGGTATTGCAGTATGATCCAACACATCTACAATATTTCTGGATATGTGACCCTGGGAAAACACCTCAAACCTTCTAAGCTTCAGTTTTCCATTCCAAAAATATGGGCAATCAATTTCACCCATATCTTAGGGGTTGTTGACATAAGTGCTTAGTGTATCACTAACCCTCCACACACACACACACACACACACACACACACACACACACCCACCCCTCCGGAACATTAGTTGCTATGGAATCAGTTCTGACTCATGGCAACTCCATGTGTTTTAGAATGAAGCCATGCTCCAGAGGGTTTTCAGT